TTAACACTACTTAACTTGTAACTCAACAATTTAACAGAGGAAAAACACTTAACAGCATGTAACCTATGTAACTTAACAATTTAGCAAAAGAACAACAGCCTTTAAATTAGCTTGTAATTTATAAGGTCTTACTTGTAAGTTACTAAGTTACTTGGATCTGAGAGTGCTTAAACATCTAAGACAGCAGCATCTCTCACAGATTTGCTGCAGCCTATGCACAGGGGCATGCACACAGAAAGACAGTGCTAGCAGGGTACCTGTGAAAAATTCCCCTCAGAGGTGAGTGAAATGCTCACTTTGGATGCCTTTGCACCACCCAAGAGGCGAAGGGCTGAGCCTCATGGAGTGAGGCTATCAGCCCAGGATCCATCATCGTTCTGGGATCCTCCAGTACCCCAGACTTGAGTTTGCCCCACTCAGAGGGAGGTGCTGGCCAAAACCTGCTGTGGTCCAGGGTGGCCCAAAGGGTCTCATTTTGGACCAATGTCTGCAGAGCCACAAAAGAGTGGGCTTTAGTTGTTGTAACAGTGTTTCAGCCTGCACTTCCTGTCAATATCTGAGAAGAGGGATGTTCTGCGGTTCAGGGAGGAAAAAGAGTTGCCAGCTGTTCATCAAAACCCCGGGAGCTCTGTAAGGCAGCAGCCGTTCCTGGGAGCAGGGAGAGTTTCTGATGAGCTCAGGAAGAGACGAGCCTCATCAAGGAAGAGCTGCTCATCAAGGGTCAGGCTCAATGAGCATTTCTGAGATGTCAGTGCAGCCTGGAAAAGGGGGATGCATCAGCACCACGGGTCACCATGGGCTCCCACGGACCACTGCAGACCACCAGGAACAGCAGGATGGGTGCAGCAAGGGAAGAGTGACATCCCAAAGTGTGGGATGCCAATAAAACTCAGTGTGAGACCATGGCACAGGGAATGTGCAAGGGAGTTAGGAAAAAAAATAAGGTTTTATAAGTTTTGTGTGTATGGTGAGTGCACAGAGAGTGTATGATCTGTGTATGAGATGTGTAGTGTTTCTGTATGGTGTGTGTATGGTGTGTGCATGAGGTGTGTGTAAGGTGTGTGTATGGTGTGTGTATGGTGTGTGTATGGTGTGTGTATGGTGTGTGTATGGTGTGTGTAAGGTGTGTGTATGGGGTGTGTATGGTGTGTGTAAGGTGTGTGTATGGAGTGTGTAGGGTGTGTGTATGGGGTGTGTGTAAGGTGTGTGTATGGTGCGTGTATGGGGTGTGTATGGTGTGTGTGTATGGGGTGTGTATGGTGTGTGTAAGGTGTGTGTAAGGTGTGTGTAAGGTGTCTGTATGGTGTGTGTATGGGGTGTGTATGCTGTGTGTGTATGGTGTGTGTGTATGGTGTGTGTGTATGGGGTGTGTATGGTGTGTGTATGATGTGTGTAAGGTGTGTGTATGGTGAGTGTATGGTGTGTGTATGGTGTCTGTATGGTGTGTGTATGGGGTGTTTACAGTCTCTGTCTGGTCCGTGTGCGCTGTTGATGCTGTGTCGGCGCGTTGTCCCCTCCGTGTCCCCTCCGTGTCCCCTCCGTGTCCCCGCGCTGTCCCCGCGGCGGTGGCCTGTCCCCCTCTGGTGGCTCACACGCGCCACACGGGTTGCCGCCTCACCCACATTCCCGGTCACGGGCATCTCACGCACCCCATCCCTGCAAAAGTGAATTCCCACCCGCTTCTCCCTCCTTCCCTCCACACCCTCTGTTTTTCTCCCGTATCTCTTTTGTTTCTCCCGGGTCGCTCCCCCGCCGGCGGCATCCCGATCCCGCCGGCCGCAGCTCCTGAGGGAGCGGCACCACCTCCCGGAGAGGTCGCTGCGGAGGCTTTTCCCACTCATTGTGCTGTCAGCCCCTCCGTGTCCCCTTTGCCCCCGGCCTGTGCCACCTCAGGACAGGAGCCCCAGGGCTGCGCTGGGGGCTCCTGCCCGGTACAGGCTGTGCCACCGTCTGTGCCCCGTGAGCAGGGGTGGTGACACTGCTCTCCGGCGGGACCATCGCCACCCCGCCATGTCCAGCCCCACACTCCATGGGGAAGCTCCTCCAGATCTTTCCGGCTTCTCGTTTCTGGATGCAATCGCTGTCGGTTGGATTTCTCTGTCCTTCGCCTCAGGCAGCGCTGCCAGCTCCGCACCGCGCTGGACCGAGATATTTATAGCCGGCAATGCAATCTCTTCGTCTCGGGCTGTGCCGAGCTGGCGGAGCCGAGCTCCGTGACCCCACGAGCGTCTCTCCCGGTGGCCACACCTGCAGTGTGAATGGCAGGGACAGCGAGACTGTGATTCCCGGCAACCCCAGACGTGGAAGGGACCCATGCCGGGGCACGCTGTGATGCCGTGCCCGCGGCGCTGCTCTGCTCTGGTAGCCTGCCCCAAAATCCCGGAGGGGACAGCGACACCCTGCCCGCCGCTCAGCGCGGCATCCCTCACGCATCGGAACCACTCAGGGCCTTGAAGGGCCAGTGACACCGGCAAGACCTGGGGCACCGTGCAGCCAGCGCTCCCCCGTGCTCCCGCACACAGCTCTGGGCCGGGGGGAAGGGGCTGGCACCACCCCGAATACTCCCCTCCAGTCTCCATCGCCCCCCACCCCCGCCCGATGGGAGCAGGCAGCAGGCTGGGAATGCCAGGAATGCACCGCAGGCATGCTGCCTCCGCCGAGCCCCCCTTGCCCCACCGAAGCGCCCTGCAGACAAACACACGGCACCTCTGTGTCGCCCCTGGCCGGGCGGCCCCCCATGGCAGCGCACGACATCCCCTCAGGTCCTCCCCAAACCCCCGGGAGGACCGGCAGCCCCGCTCTGCCCGCGCTATCCACGCCCCACGGCGCCACGGGGGCTTGTGCAAGGCTCATCGCCCCCCGAGCGCTCCCCTGCGCTCTGCTCGTGTGCGGCCAGCCTCCCAGCCCGCAGGCCTGTGTCCCACGCAGAGGGCTGGAGCGGCAGTGGTGACACGGCCGTGGCATCCAGCCCCCTGCCCTGCCAGGGCTCCTGCCGGCCAGGTCCCTGCGGCACGGGCTCCCGTGCACCCTCCGCTGTTGGGGAAACACACAGGGTCTCGGGGACGTCTGGTTCCTCAGGGCATCCCAGTTCTCAGGGTCCAACTCCCCAGGTGCATCCCAAATCCCCGAGGACATCTCCAACATCCTACCCTCCCCCCAGGGGAGATATCCACGGCCAAAGCACTGGAAGACCCCACAAGGGAGGCAGCCAGACCCCAGGCAACCCCCCCTCAGAGCCTGATTCCTCCTTTGTCCGACAACTTAAGACTTCCCAAAAATCCCTTGTGAGGACACTCACACCCAGGGTATTCCCTTCCAGCTGGCCGTGGATCCCTTCACATCCTCGCACACCTCCCCAGGCTACCCCTCTGCCCCATCATACACATCCCCGCACCCCTAAACTTCCCCAATCCCTGGGGACCCCCAGCATGAGACATTCCCTCCCCAGTCCCTAGTCACTGGAGTACCCTGGAACCTGGATGCTCTCTCACTGCAGCTCCCCGGACTCAGGTACCTCTTTCTCAACCCCCCGCCCAGTGGGGACACTCCAAACCCTAATGCTCCCTCCCTGATTCCCCTCACGGACCCTAGATCCCACGTACTCCCTCTTCAATCCCTGCCTACTGGGAGCCGCCGGCTCTGGGGACTTCTCTCCCTTAATCCCCGATGGGACCCCCGAGCCCGCCCCCAGCCCCTCCACCCAGGGGCCGAGCCCCCCAGCCCCCTGCCCCACACCGATGCCCTCTTCTGCGATTCCCCCGCGCTGCACCTCACCAGAACCAAAGCACACCTCCCTCGGTCCTCCACCCACCGGGGACACCCCGAAGGCGGATGCCCCTCCCTCCCTCCCCTCCCGGACCCCCTAAAACACGGGCACCCCCTCCCTCAGTCCCTGCCTGCTAGGGGCTCTAACCCCGCGCAGCCCTTCGCCCGCCTGGAAGCCAGAGTCGCCGGACGCCCCGCCATCCCCCC